ACGCATGTTGAGCCACTCGACGGTGCGGGCGGGCGCCGGGCCCTCCTCCCGGTGCAGCAGCACCAGCTGCTTCTGGGCGCGCACGGCCGTGCTCTCCAGCATCCGCTCCAGCTGTGGGGGCAGAGCTGCGGTCAGGGGGCCTGAAGCCAGGATGGGGCTGCCCAGAGGCCCCACGCTGCCCGGGCTGCGCCCAGGCTCTGTGACCAGCGGGGCTGCGGGGCTCAGCCCAGCTGTGAGGCTGGGCCCACGGCCCCAGGAACACAGGAACCTTCTTGGATGAGGGATTCTGCAAAGGCTCTCCCTGCAGGGAGCCCCACTCTCTGCAGAGCAGGAGCCCCAGCGGCCACAGGGCCAGGGGTGGAGCTGAGGTGGGAGCCGCCTGGACAGAGGAAGGGACAGGCAGGGACACCACTGAGGGGTGCCGAGTAGCCGCTTCCAGCCGTGAAGCCCCAGAGGCCGTGCCCGCCTCGGTGAATGGAAGGTGCACACCCTGGGGTCCAGGTGGGCCCGTGTCAGGAAACAATGTCCCCGCCAGAGACGGGAGACGGGCAGGTGGGGGCTCACCAACTGGGAGGTTTCAAAATGGTCAAAACCAGGCACTGTGACACCGAAGTCAGGCCTGTGACCAGCTGCACACGCAGCAAGTGTGAGACACGGCAGAGGCGCCGACTGCACAGGAGGCCACGGCGAGGGGGCAGGGGAGACGCTGAATAACCACCAGGTAAAGGTCTGGGTGTGGGCGCCTTTGCCCGCCCTGGAAACATCTCATTCAAAGGAGAGCAGCAGAGGGAGGGATCTGAGGAGAGCGTGGCTGCCCACATGCCTGGCCCACAGCCCTGCCTGCAGCCCCCACCTCGCCCACGCTGGGCTCCTGCTCGCCCAGGCCCACGATGAGGATGCAGTCGGCCTGCCGGATGCAGCGCTGGGTCCAGGGCGTGAGCGAGCTGTCTGCCTGGTAGAGCACGATCCGGTGGATGTCCTCCTGCTGCCCCAGCCAGCTGGACAGCCGGTACTCGTGGATGCTGCAGGCCGACATGAGCATGGGCATGGGGTGCAGGCAAGGGCTGAAGACATGGGGCGCAGACATATGGGGGTGCAGACATGTGGAGATGCAGCCAAGGGGGGCACAGACATGGGGGCACACATGTGGGGGTATAGACATGGGGCGCAGACATGTGGGGGTGTAGATATGGGGTACAGACATGTGGAGATGCAGCCAAGGGGGGCACAGACATGGGGGCACACATGTGGGGGTATAGACACGGGGCACAGACATGTGGGGGTGCAGACATGTGGGGTATAGACATGGGGGGCAGACGTGGGGGACAGGCCTCAGGGCACACATAGACACAGGCCGTTCCCAGGCTGTGCTCAGACCCGCGGGCAGGGCAGCCCGCTGTCCCCCTGCAGCCTGTACCTGTCCAGGGCGGCAGAGCCCAGGCGCTGTTTGATGTTGTCACTGGTCAGCAGCAGGACGGGGCCTGGGAACAGCACCTGGTGGTGGAAGCTGCCCGGCAGCCCCCCTCTGGGACAGCAGGGCCGACCACGGGGGCAGCCGGGCAGCCAGGAGCGGGAGGAGCAGCCCCTCCCTGAGCCACAGGAGCCTTGCGCCTTTCAACACGGAAGTGCCTGTGGCCTCGAGGGCCTTGGGGCAGGTGCGCCCACGGTGCGAAGTGGGAGGACTGCACCGCTCAAAGCTCCCCGGGGACAGGGGGCCTCTCTGAACCTCCGTCTCCTCGTCTACCCACAGAGGAGCGGAGGCTCCGCAGCACAGAGGCTGAGTGCTGGGGGCAGGGGAGGCACAAGCTCGTAAACGCAAGACAACGCGACGCCCGAGCCCAGGCCCGCGGGCTGCGGCGTCCGGTTAGCGCACAGGCTTGCGAAGCCAGCTCCCCACTGTCTGAGGTCAGCAAGGGCCTCCCGTCTACTGTCTTAGAGCCACAGGCACAGCGGTCAGGCCTGCTCCCCAGGAAGGCCAGGGCAGGACCGAGGGCGGGCTAGGGTTAGACTATCAGCCTAAACCTCCACTCAGCAAAAATGCCCTTGAGGAGTGAGGGCGGCCTCCACCAACACAGCCACCTGCCTTTCGGCGAAGGCGTCGCCATGGCTGCGGGCAGAGCTCGGTCTTTCCACTCGTCAGCGAGGGTTCTGGGTCGGCTGGAGACCCCAACAGGCAAAATAAATCTTGATTCCACCTCATATCAGAACCAGAACCAGGCCCAGATGGACTGTGCTAAAAGAACATCTTCATGATTTGGGGGGAAAATAAAATGTCTTAAGCAAAATGCAAAAGCAACAACAACATAGGAGAGAGTTGATGCATTGGTCTACGTTAGAATGAAGACCTTCTGTTCGTCAAAACACATCATTAAGATAAGAAAGGCACCGCCGAGAGGGAAGGCATCTGCAGGATCTGCACCCAAAAAGGAGCCGTGTGCAACCACGGGGGGAACCCCGCCACCACCACCGCCCTCGCAGGAGGAGTGACAGCCGGCGAAGGGGGCACCTGACGGCCAATCGCAAGCCAGCGTCTCCGTCAGGCGGAGTGCAGGCTCCAGCCCTAGCGCGGCGGCTGCACACTCACTACCACACGCGTGGAAAGACCGACACAGAACACGCGCTCCAGGCGCACAGGACACTCTCCAGGGCCGGCCCAGGTCGGGCCACAAAACGCGTTGAGTAAAACTTTAAAAGGCGAAATCGTAGTGTCTTTCCTGATCACAACGTGTGAAACGGGACCTCAGGAACAGCAGGAAAACTCGAAACATGTGGAAATAACCCGCTCACACCCCCGGGGTGAAAGCCGTCACCGGGAAGGTGGACAGTCGCGAGCCACGTGTAGAAGGAAACACAGGGTCCCAAACCCAGGGACCAGTAAGAGCAGCGCGGGGCGGGACACAGCGCCAACGTGACGTCACAAAGGCGGCCTCAGCCAGCAGCCCAGCTCCAGGCCTCGAGGAACGAGGAGAGAGTATCAACTAAACCCAGAGCTGACAGGAGGGAAAAAAAATAAAGATCAGGACAGAGGTCACTAAAATAGAGACGTAGATAAACGCAAAAGCTGGTTCTTTGAAAGAATTAAAGTTGATGAGCCTTTAGCAAGTGAATAAAGAATAAAAAGGAGTCGCTGAAATGAACAGCGGTGGGACATCACTCTCCACAGACACGCACGGCAGCGCAAGGAGCATGTGAGCAACTGCACAGCAACAAGGTGGACGATCGAGACGAAACGGAGGAATTTCTGGAAACACAAGACCTACCAAGACCGATTCATGAAGAAACATGAAAAGATTGGATCAGTAATGACAATAACAGTAACAGTAACCGAGAAAGGAGAGCCCTGGACGAGACAGCTTCGCCGGAGGTTCTATCAAACGTTTAAAGAAGAACTGACACCCTCCTCCTCAAACTCTTGTAAAACAATGGAGGAGGACGTTTTCTCACTCACTCCACGGCCAGCACTCCTGACGCCAAAGCCACAGGAGGCCACGTCAGCAGGAGGAAGCTGTAGACAATGACCTCCATCAACATCAACAGGAGGCCAGCGAGCCAGTCCAGCGGCCTGATAAAGGCCTGACACACAGCCCCTGGGGTTTGTTCCCGGAATGCAAGGACGGCTCAACACAGGACTGTCCATCAAAGGACTCATCACATTAACAGGACAAAGGGAAACACCACCATTTTAGCTGACGCAGAAAAGGCACTGGCCAAAGTCAACCTCTTGGCACAACCAAAACCCTCAGTGAACTACGTGCAGAAAGCCTTCAACACACCGCAGGCCGCGCGTGGACAGCTGGCAGCGACCCTCACACTCGGGGGACCCTGGGCTCCCCCAAGGCCAGGAGCAAGGCGGGGATGCTGGTCCACCACCCCTTCCCAACACGGCTCTGCTCAGCACCATCAGGACCCGAATGGGTGCGACAGGCACCCGCAGGAGAGGAAGCAGCGGCGACCTCCGTCGGTTCCACCCACACACACGCTCAGAAGCGGGCGGAATGAGCACCGTCCGCAAGGCTGCGGGGTCCCGGCGGCACAGAGGCAGCGGGTCCCTCCCGCTATCGGTGAGCACTCTGAAGGGATTACACCATCACTCCACTGACAGCAGCACCCAAGCCAGTCCGTACTTTGGAATAAACGTAACAAGGACTCGCCGTGAAGCTATCGACGCTGCTGAGGAAAGTGAAGGAGCTCCTAAGTGGACGCGCGTCAGGGCTGCCGGGGGGGTGGGGTGGGGGGGGAGAGTCGTCAGGTGCCAGCACCCAGAGCGATGGAGCCAGTGCACCTGCCCGCCCATCAGGCTCTCACAGAACGGGACACGCTCGTCCTAACTCCCAGGGGTCTCGGGCCCTGAAGGGTCCAAACCACCTTGGAACCGCAAAGCAGAGCGCTCAGCCCTCCTGGTTTGACCACTTGCTGCAAAGCCGCCTCGTGAAGACCGTGAGGGCCGGCGCAGGACAGGCGTGGGGGCCAGGGCCAGGGCCAGCGAGCTGGGATGAGCTCGTGGACGTCGGTGACAGCCGCCGGGGCCGAGGCCGCACCACGGGCAGGGAGGCTCTTTCGCTGGCCTCCACATGCAGAAGAAAACCAACCACTACCTACAGGTCCCACTTCACACAAAAGCCAGTCCCCACGCGGACCACAGGTTTATAGCGAACAGGAGACAGAGGCCATAGCAGGTGAAGAGGCCAGCGCCGTGGGGCAGCCCAGCCCCA